TTTTTACCGACATAAAAAGTGAACTAATTTTTAAACCATCAACTTGTTTCGCGAGTTCATTGTACCATTTTCTACTACGAAAAAAATATTAGAAATCCAAAATAATTATTTTTTGTGCTAAAAAAAATAACTTTTTGAAACGCGTCCTCTGTAACCAAAATCTAAGAGTTAATAACTTTTACTTCTGCAAGTCTCTGCAGGTCTCCTATAAAGAAATTAAAAAATCATAATTTAATATTTATAATGCATCTTTATTTGTGAGTTCCTTTTGATTCCTTTTTCTATAAAATCAAATTATATGTTTATTATCAAAAAATGAATTGTCTTTGTTAATTATATTTATTTAGAAGTAAATTTAATAGTAATTTAACTCTAAAAGAATAATTTCGTTTGCATATTATTAGTTAAAATATCTTATTCAATGATATATTGATTATTTCATCAAATGAACTTTTTCAAACTTTATTATTAATTATAACTTCATATTTATTTTAAGGAAAAGTATTGTTACATCTAAAATTTTATACACAATCATAAATAGAGATTATTAAACAAAAATCATACAATTATATTAATGAAACCAACAATTATAAGCTATTTATTATAAAAATTCTTAATACTTGAATTATTAAAAAAATTACTCTAATATTAGAGTAATTTTTAATAAAATCTAAAAGCGAGACATATTTTTACTCCTTTCACTTCAACAAATATAAAAACATACATTTTAATAAAAATATTTATTCATTTATAGAAATAATGAAATTAGATCGCCGAAATTGAGATTGGTACTACTGTGCGACGCGTTAAACTCTCACTATTTCTTTGAACCCGAAAGAGAGGAAAATATAATTTTAAGCCTCACTTAACGTCAAAGTAATATTGGTGCAATCAGATTTTAGTGAATATTAAATCTATAATTACGCAAACTAAGTATTACGATATATATATATATATATATATATCGTTTATCGTAATACTTAGTTCGCGTAATTATAGATTTAATATTCACTAAGATCTGATTGCACCAATATTACTTTGTTGTAATATATATATATATATAGGTATAATATAAATTTCAATTACCATTTGATCACGCGATGCCACTCGGTCGTTTCAGTCGGTTCGTCTCGTGCTCATTACGATCTGAAAATGAAAAGCCACAGATATAATTAAGATGGCGAAGAAGTTTCATTTTTGCGTTGTTAACTTCACGCTTTAGAAGCGACGCGAACGACGCGGCATAGTGTCACTACGCTTCTCACTCTTGGCGTCGCGTTTATGAATTTTTCATATTATAGATATATCTGACGCTCGAGATACGAAAGTAATAATCATCATACAAAATAAGCATATACATATTATATTTATTATAATAGTCCGCTCGTCTTGTATTATGACTGTTATTTCCATGTTGTAAATTATGATATAAAAATCTTATTTTCAGTTATTCACGACGCTACTTTTACGGCCAAATTTTACGAAATATGCATTTACGCGCGCGCGAATGGATCATTAATATACCAACACCGAATCTATAGTTATACAGCAGTTGAATATCGAGAAATAGTACAAGTACAATTAAGTACTGCAAGTTTTATATATTATAGATTTAATTACCATATTTGATCGCGTTGCCACTTGTTTAAGAGCCGGTCCGTTCCGCCATCATTCCTTTATCCACCGTATTCCGCGAATAAAACGTAAATGCGGTCGAAATAGGTAAGTGGCGTCGTTTCCATACACATTTAACTTCACGCGGAAAAAGCGACGCGGTGACTCGCGCAGCGACACGACTGTTCATGCGTTTTGATTTTCAACCGAATCGTATTGAAAAAAATGTTTTCAGCCGAATAATCAATGTATTATACTAGTACTAGAATCTACATTACGCAATGTTTAAAACGTTATCAAAAATAAATGCATGAAATTTAATTAAATTTCGTATCAAACCGTAGCCAACAAGTTTTGCGCGTGTGTTTAAATAAGCGATAGTTTCTTATAATATTTCTCGCGTCGCGTATAAATGTATTAACACATAATTTAATATTTATTTATTAATTAGTTACCTTGTTGATCAAATCCAGTATTCCTGTGATCCTATGAGCCGCTTCTCGTCGTTGTATCTTCTCAAAAAGATCCTCTGCAACAGAATCAGGATTCAGGATGCTTCTACGCAGGAAATCGGGATCAGGGTGATCAGGATGCTTCTTCAGAATTCAGGTCCTTTTAGGATGAAATGCAAAACGCAATCGGTTCGATCGCCAGAGTTGCGAACTATTCCAACGTGATATGACAGGTAAACACCCGTCCTCTGGCCGAACCGAAGCGCAAATGCGTGAAATTGCGAATTACGCGCGGTATTTATATGCTCCGATCAGACTCGAACCCCACCACTCGCAGTCAACCAATGAGCGCGATGCGGCTCGATGCTCTGCACCGCCATGCACCGCTAGCTTTCTATTGAAGTATATAAAACGCGACGCGCAAAATGTTCAGTAATTTTCAGATTTTGATGCTGTGTAGTGTGTGGTTCTCGAGGACAGAGAAGTTGGCATATATTTAAAACGCAATTTTACGATGATAGTGCGTATTTAAAACATAATTCACGTTACTGTAAAGTTCCAAACATTGAAACATATTCTGAATATAGGCTAGAAACTATATTCATATTTATGAAAATTAAATACCAATTTAAACAATTAAATGAATTCATATCGGCTTTTTTCCTGTTAAATAAATAACGTTGATTTTACATTTTTCTATTTTATGATTTTTTATTTACGTCTCTCCATCCTTTGTTCGCATGTAGTATCAATAACGTGTAGAACGATGTGAATAAAAATGAATATTAAGGACGATATAAGTAAAATAAAAAATTATTAATTTTCCCTTTACCAATAATTAGTAATTGTTAATTACTACAATAAATTAATTCTTCTTTGAGTAATCGCTGCGACTACATTGGATTGTGACGTCATAAACAAATAATAGTACATTAAAGTTTCTGGTATGCCTTTTGTAAATAAAGAAAATTTACTCCTCTTGTCAGCCAGTAAATAATCATAAAAAGCATGTAAAATGCGTTTACTAGCGTTTATTTATTGTGCATGCATAGCCATTTCTATTTCGATCAATTGTTTGTCTTTGTCTGTCTAATGGACCGATAACAAAGAGGTTATATAATTTCTTTGACCGATAATCATGGACATAGGGAAGATTCGAACCAAAGAAATCATAGATATAGGGAAGATTCGAACCAAAAATCGTGGACATTACCGACACGATCGTGGACATTGGCTACATAGTTCAACGTCCACGTTTTGTGGACATAGAGGCGCTTCAAAGTAAAGTTGCATCTAAATCGCGGGCATGGCCGCTCTCATGCTTCTCTCTGGTATAATATATTTTCTGTAAGATTTATTCTATGTGAGATATGAAGTTATATTATAATTTAATTAAGTTATATATTATAATATGATTTTGTAATAGTTATACGTGTATCTACTGTCGAAAAATATTACATTTTTATATAAAATCGTAAACATCAATTTTAAAATAGGTAACAAACTCATGATTTTAATTAAAAAAAAACCCACCCAATAAAGTAATATCCAGGATAGCGATCATTTTTATATTAATTTTTTTCGTAGTGAGAAAATATATTATATAACGGTACAATAAAAGGAATAGGGAACGTGAAACAGAAAATTGTAGAGAACACCTTATAAAGTATAAATTTGCATAAACATATATTGTAATACCGCACAAAATAAAAAATATGTCTTTGATTTTAAATAGGTACTACAGCCGCTTATGATTTTTACAATTACATTATTTAAAATATAATGTGTAGATACATATTAGCTATATTCACTGCGAATACTTTTAAATCTATACGCGTAACGTGAACTATAGATTTTCAGTACTCGCAGTGAATAACGGAATATTATACAATCATTATTGTGTCATAAAGCTAAGACTCCATGTATGCGGTGAGTATATAAACCGAAAAAAAGAAATATAATCTTTGACAAAATTAATAACAAATAACAATAAATAATAACAACAATAATTATAGAACTAATAATATACAAAGGTAAATGCGCGAAAAAATCTAAAAGAAACGTTTTTTCACCATTAAAAATTATTTTGTCGATAATTTTTATAATATGAATAGGTCTCACGAGAGTATATGCGAGAATTGGCGCGAGTCTCTTTCTTTGAGTCTTTTTCTTTTTGGACCTCTGGTGACGGGCCGCCACATTTTTAAAATATATATAAACGAGTAAGTGGAAAATTTTATTACTTTTATTTAAGAATAAAATTTTATTTTTTACACGTTTATATTTATTTTTATCGATGAATTGCCCATTGTTCTCATCAGAGAAAAATCTGAGAATAGACATGCCGGTCTTCTCGTTTATCAAACTTCGTAGGGTAATTTTCACTTTTTTATTGTTCTCTTCCATACTATTACGTGGATTAGACAAGGACGAATAATCAACTTTGATTACTTGTCCTTGTCTAATGCCAGCTGCACACCCAGCGCGATATCCAATAAGCGTACAGCTTTACCGATGTTCTCATTCTAAAGCTAGATGCTCATTGGATATCGCGTGTCGCGCGCGACGAACATCGCGCTGGTGTGCAGCTGGCATAACTCGCGTAATAATATGGAAGAGAATTACAAAAACGTGGATGTATTATTTTACAAGATGCTACAAGATTTGGTATACACGAAAAAAGCTGGTATGTCGATCTGAGTTTCAAGTTTCGGAGATCTCTCTGGTACCCATTCATCGAACAACATGGCGACTCGTTTATCATTGCAGATGGCGCGCGAGGCGCTAGCGACGCATAACGTTCAAGATCCTTTCTTGAAGGCCGCCAGACAAGTAAAAACGCGCGGGTAACGAATACGTCGCCATTTTCAAGATTTCTTAGCATCGCGACGGATACCAGGCCTGATTCGACCTCTCGTCATACGAATGTGAACGCCGTCACCAGGATACCGCTCGGCTGCTGTTCTCTCTCGCTACCAATTGTTCACATCAGGGAATGAAAATTTCAAGTCAGTGCTGACAACTTTTTGCGTCTTATTATCGTTGTCACACCCCCGTGATCGCCATTTACGATTGCTACGCGTGCCATTGCCGTCTCAGCTGTGATTACTGTGAAATAGTGTATCACGGCGCACGTGTTTACGCTTACGTGAAATTGTGTGCATGATCGAGGGCAATTCTTTCGACGACGTCGTACCGTTGCTCGGCGAACTGCATTCGCGGCTTCCGCGTTGCTGCGCGCTATGAATCACGTCTACGATAGCGTCTCGTGTTCGACGCGGACATGGCAGAAGAAACGGGCGGTCGTGTTCCGCGTTGAATGCACGCCGCGACCGCGGGCTCGTCGACGAGTCACGCATTTACTCGCATCTTTCGTGATCTCCCGGCCACGTGGAAGGTTAGCGTGGCTCTTGTTAAAACCTGAAAACTGCTCGATTCCAAGTTTTCCTCGCGCGACATCGTCGTACGCACCGAGATTCAACACATTTTTACAGACAATGGAATCGCAATGCGGATAGACAATAGATTGTATACGTGGACATCTTAAACGCGACGCGTCGACAAGGACGAACGTTGCAACATTCTGAGCTTTGATGCCTCCAAATGTTCCGGCGTCGTTGATTCGTTTATACCTCGCGTTAAACGGTTGGCGAATATACTATCGTTGTATAATAACCTTGATAACAAAATCTAGAGATATAAGTCTTGAAGATGTCTTTATGTTCTGATTTTGGACACTTAGTGTTATCTGGGAACAAATTAGTTAAAAAAGAGCATGTTAATCTAAGTTTTATTGATGAAGTTGACTAATAGTTTACTTGTATGACTAATACTAATTAGCCAACTTTATGCCTGGTTTATGCTTCGGTCTTAAGGTCTTAATCCTAAAATTCAGCCAATAGAGTTCAAATTTCGGTTAGAACTGGCAGCTTTATTGGTTGAATTTTAGGATCTTGGGATTAAGACTTGAAGCATAAACCAGGTATTACTGATTGAGACTTCTGACTACTGTACTACTACTCACTGTAGAATGTAACTTAACATACACTGAGAAAAAAGATAGTTGACTCAACTAAATTGGCGGTCACGGGCTATCAAGTAAATATTTTGTTAGTCGAAATATTAATGTATTTGAGTCAAATACGCAGTAGTACATTGAACAATGACTTATTTATTTCGACAGGACATATCTTTGAATTAACAAAATATTTGCTTGACAGCCCGTGATCGCCAATTTAGTTGAGTCAACTATTTTTTTTTCTCAGTGTAAGAGTCATTCGTAGAATTATTTGTGCAAAAAATAAACTAATTAAAAGATAATAGCTCTCTGAACTAAGCTAATATTAACTAATAAAGGAACGTATAATCCACTGAACATTTTCAAAAATTAATAATAAAGATCTGTTTAATAACTCATATGAACTGATCTGAACACGCAAACTTTAGATGTGACTGTATGATTTGATATCTTTAAATGCTTACAATTTAAAAACTATTAGATTCTCAACATTTTGATATTAGAATTTTCTTCTCAAAAAAAAGATTTTAGGAATCTATCTTTAAACAATATTATGGTTTCTATCGATTATCCTGAATAAAAATTATCCATACAATAGAACATGATCGAAGAGACTCACAACCTTGACTGAAATAAGTTCAGTGCAACAAGGCTTCAATTATATAGCATTAAATACTATGCAGTAGTAAATGCATTTAATGCATTAAACTTGTTTATTTCTTCTACAAGTTCTACATGACTTATATGTTTTGTACAAATTCTATATGACTTACATGTTTAAACTCATTTTGTCATTGTTTAATATTAGGACTTTTTATTTTTGTCTTTTTAATCATTATTGTACAATATGAGATGACAATTTATAAACATCAAATCATTGTCTTTTAAAGATAATGATTCAGAATATTCTGTCAAAAAACAATGCATTATTACAATCTCAGTAAAATCTGTTTAAAATAAATTTTGCAATTTAGATCTAATGAAGAACTAAGGGCAAGACCAATTATATTGAAGAATTTTATAATTGTAAAGCTGCTTTTTCTGCTGAACGGAGCTAATAAATACATTTGTATATGAACCTCTCAGAAAAAAAAACCAGATTAATAAACTTTATTACTTGTAAAGAGAAAAAAAGTTTCTCATTACTAGAGAAGCAAAATCAAATTTTTTAATTACATATTTAATATTATTAATAATAAAATATCTCACTTGCAGCAGTGAAAAATGATGGCTGACTTTGATAAAGATTCTGTACAGTGTTGTTTGGTCTGTAACACTAAAATTGGGCTATCTAGTAGAAATAGCGTCCACATCTTTAATGAGCCTTGTACCATATCTAAAAAGCCGCTCGTGGATGTTATATCAACTGTTTTAAGCATCAATATCAGTCAAAACTCTGTACATTCTCCTATCATTTGCAAAAAGTGTTTTAAGCAGTTCAGTGAGGTAAAACAATTATGGCGATCTTTTGTGATCATGACAGTTTTTTTGAAAAAATTGATAAAATATATTTTTTTACTATTTTAGGTGGATGAACTTTTAAGTAAAGTAACGAAACTCAAAATACAATTATGTAATAGCTATAAAAAGACAATTGAAGTTCATAAGTTGTGTGATATACTTCAAAATGATGAGGAATATAATGATCATGATTATACAGACAATACAGAAGGTCAATGTATTCTATACGAGGTAAAATATTATATATATAATAAAGCTTGATTAATTATCATGATACGGTTTAATAATATATAATTATATAATATTCGTAGAAAGTGCAGGAAATACAGGAAAATGTAGCAGAAGAGGTTACTAAAGAAGAAAAAGAACAAGAAATGATTGTAGAACAAGATGATTCTTTCTTACATTACTTTGAAGAAGTTGAAGAAGAAGATGAAACAAGTAATTCAAATGATACTAAGAAATCAAAGAAGACTAAAGTTAAAGTGGAGCAACCTCAAGAAGATGTATGTATGCAAAAATTCGTATTTTAGTAACATAAATTATATAAATGTTTTTGATATATGTATTATTAAATGACATCTTTTTTAGATTGTACTTAGAAATAACTCTTCATACACCTGTTTGGTATGTCCAAACGAAGAAGAGAAATTCACGGCAGATGCTAAACTCATTATAGCTCACATGAAAGACTTACATGACTTACGTTTGTATATTTGCGATGTGTGTGGGCAGGATTTCAGAAAGAGAAACGAACTTTCCACACATCTTGATGATCACGTCGCAAAGGAGGAAGGGGACTTTCAATGTGAAATATGTAATAGAATATTTAGTAATCTGCGATTATTCCGTATTCATAAAAGAATACATTATCCACAAGTAAAATCATGGCCCTGTGAAACATGTGGAAAGAAATACAAGTATAGTATTATAATATTAAATGAAAATAAATAATAAAATATAAATAATGTCAAAAAAGAGGAAATAATTAATATATATATTTTTTTTCAATTTAGTTCTAAAAAACAAACATTAAATAAACGACCAACAACGAGCAAATTAAAGTTGGAATTAATAATTAAAGAGATATACAATAATATTAAGTTCTAATTTAATCTATCAACTAAAATTGTATAATACATTGGTAAAAATTTCAAATGTTTCGGCTTCACAGTCTTCTTCAGTGTAACACTAATTAATCGTTATTCGTAATCGAACATTATTACGGAATAATTTTTCTATGTAACATTTGATCTTTCCAACCTTCGTCTGGTGTTAATCATCTTTTCAATTCAGAAATTTCATCAGCATCAATCCAGTTCGTCATATTGTAATCCAAAAGAATTTGATCGTTAAATTGCGAGAAATTCAATTATGTCAAAAACAATCTAAATATATATTATAGATAAAATTTAACTTAGTCACTATTAATCTTAAATTTAATTTTCTATTGTTAAGCAGTTATAACTTACATTGTCAATTCCATTGAAAATCTTTCTTAATTTAAAAGAAGAATAACAAAGACATGTTGGTACATCGACTTGATATTAACGAATGTATCGACATAATGACAATGTACAACCAAATGAAAATCAACTGTACGTACTCAATAACAACTTAATAACATTGGTTACATAAAACGGAAGATCTTAAGCATATAGGAACAACACAATTTTTACATGAGAAATTACAATTATGAATGGTTGTCTATAACAGAAATTTTAGATCTTAATGGTTCAAAAATTTCCACATGGAAATCTCATTCAATATAGGGGAATAAGATTCACTCAAAAGTTCAGTATCTCTCATGTAATTTAATCCTTCTGGTTGTTCTTTGATATGTATCATCTCCGAAATCAATCATTTTTTATAATTGTGTTCTACATCTATAATTTCAATATTTTCCCAATCAAAACCATGATCAAATTCTATGATGTGCTGAGAGATAACTGAGTGTTTGGATGAATCTAATCTTATATTATTTTTGTGTTCTTTAACTCTAGTTTGCAACTGTCTTTTCGTTTGATCTACATATGTCGAAACTTTAATTTGCTCGTTGTTGGTCGTTTATTTAATGTTTGTTTTTTAAATTGTTCGAGCGTTAATATTATTATTATTGTTTTTAGTTCTAAAAATTTATTAGAGGAACATATAAACTCACACAATGGTATTCGTCCATATATATGTGAAATCTGTGGTAAAGACTTCGCATCTAAGTATACATATAAAGCGCATGTAAAAACGCACGAAGTACGACCTCGTCCATTCGAGTGCACTCAATGCAATAAAACATTTTTGAATCAGCAAAATTTGAATCAGCATGAACGAACACATAATGGTACAAAAGAATTTGTATGTCATCAGTGTGGTAAGATTTATAATATTTCATATATTAATTTATTTAATGTTTCTGTTATTTTTTGTATTAATGTCACAATCTCTTTTATACAATATAAGTATTTTCTTATTTATTTTTTAATAATATCTTTCTTAAAATTAAAGGTAAAGCTTTTACTTCCGCACACAATTTAGAGGTACATAACATAGTACACACCGGATTTAAACCCTATGACTGTGGTACATGTGGTAAATCATTTGCGCGTAAAGCGGAAATTCGTGATCATGAGAGAACTCACACAGGTGAGAAACCTTACCAGTGTGAGTTTTGTGGAGCTACATTTAGGTAAGTATTTAGGTAATGGAATTAGAGGATTATACAATTCACTGCGCTTAAATTAATTGGTAACAAGCAATTAATCTTACAACTATTATTTACAGCCAGAGATCGAATTTACAATCCCACAAGCGAGCAACACATTACAATGATAAACGATATAAATGTGACGAATGTGGAAAAGGTTTTAAAAGAAAAAGGTTATTGGATTACCATATAAAAGCGGCACACACCGGTGAAAGACCGTATAAGTGTGATATATGTTCAGCTACATTTGTCTATCCTGAGCACTTTAAGAAGCATACACGTATACATACAGGCGAGAAACCATACCTTTGCGAGGTATTATTAGAATAATTTTTTTTTCTAATTGTTTCTTATCATTCGGTTATTCTTATTTTTACGTTTCTGTACTCATAAATATGCTGCCTTTAGGTTTGTGGCAAAGCATTTAATAGCAGAGATAACAGAAACGCTCATAGATTTATACATAGCGATAAAAAGCCATATGAATGTTTGGTATGTGGTATGGGCTTCATGAGAAAACCATTACTTTACTCACACATGCAAGCTCAGGTAATATATGAGAAAATGTTTTGATCTATTAACAAATTCTTATTTGTCTTCCTATTTTTGATACATTCATAATTATAGTATAAATTTTATAAATGGTCTACAATTTGCGACCAAATGGGACATAAACTTTTGTTTATAATTTTGTGTGCTGTGTAACATAAAAAATAGTTGAAGACATAAAATACACAATAGAAAATAATCACTAATATATATTTTCTATATATGTATATCTTCAAATATTTTTGGTACATACACGAAATGTTATAAATAAAATTCTGTTCTGAATTTAATCGTGAATTATATATAGACCGTCTAAAATGGGCTTTATAGATTATTTTAATATACTATAATATATTTGATATATAAAATATTTATTATTTAGGGTCATTTAAATGATACCATAGTAGTGAATCAACCGCGACTGACAACAGAAGAACAAGTAATAACGATTCCTAATAATAATGGTGAAATATTGATGGATAAAATGGAAAACGGAGAGGTACAGAATATATAATATACAGAACTTTGATATACAGAATATATATAATATCTATGTATAGATTAAATCTCACATGCATATAACAGAGCATAAGTTTAACGTAAGACCGCTGGACCAATGAGCATCTTACGTAAATCAATATGGCGACTATGTTGGATGCTCATTAATCCAGCGGTCTTAAGTTATGCTTATGCTCTGCTATGCATATCATGTGTGATAGGCTTAACTTTGTACATACTTTTATTCACTCACAAATAAAAAAACAAATATTAGGGTAGCACATTTTTATTACTAATTTAAAAATAAAACTAGTCATTTTATTACATACATTGTACATATTGTAAAATATATGTATATTATTATATGTATATTAACAAGTGAAATTTTATTATATACGTTGTTGCTTATATATTTAGTTGGGTGAAACTGGATTATATGTAACCGAAATGAAAGATCATGTAATTATACAAGAAGGGGAAGATCATATATATAATGAAGAAGATGTTGTATTAAATATACCGGCGGAAGAAACCGTAACTGACGAAGTAAACCATCTTGTTGAAGATCAGGTAAAATAATAGAATTTTTTTAAAGTTTGCTGCAAAATTAATATTTATTATTTTATTTCACTAAATATTGCATTTTGTTTTATAGATAAATTTTGTTGAGAGTGAAGTTACTACAGACTGTAAAGTTGAAACTGAGGTAGAAACGGTATATACTTATAACGAGAATGAGGAAGGTGAGACGATAGTTGTACCATCCACTTCAGAAGGAGAAGAGAAGAATGTGCGATTAGTGCAGATTAGATTTCCGACTTCTGTAGATGGAGAAGGCAGAAGCTGGTTAAGCTTAGTACAAAATACTTGAATTAATCGATACGCTGCATCTATTTATTAGATACAGAAAGTAGGTACAGACAATACAGAATCTAGAAGCAGGATGTAAGACTGATGAGCTTTCTACAATAAACTATTACCTCTCTTTGGACTTTAAGTCTTAATGGAATTCGCACACACTCTCCGTAACAGTAAGCGTAAAACGTACCATAAAAATATAACTAATAACAGTCAAGAATTTTCATATTTTAGTTGATTCTTTTCACATTCAATTATAATTGATCAATTTTTTTTACAGTATAAGATTTAATATTTAAATATTGTTTAAGATTTAAGTTTAGGTAACGACTTATTGTAGAAAGTTCTTGAGTGTTACTAAACAGATCAAATTTTTAACGCATATGCGATGATGAAACAGTGATTACAGCGATATAGCAGAAATGAACGCATAAGAACATGTTCACACCTTGACAGAAAAATAGAAAGCAGCCAATTAAAACTTGTGCTAGTAAGGTATGGCACACAAAAAACCTAAGTTTTACTTACGTAAGATTTTCTTACTTTTTTTTAGCTAAAATTTTAAATACAAGTAAGTGCTCTTTATGTGTCTGCAATTAGAAACATGTTAACAGTCTTTTGAAATAATTGAAATTAAAATTTGCAGTTTTAACATATGATGCATATACACAGATTTTTAATTATAGCATTCATATCATGCTTAGGATTGTCATAAAAAAACGAGTATGTTTTAGAATATAAATATATAAATGTTATATAAAAAGTTTCAAAATTGTTGACAGTTTTAGTTTAAAAAATGCAATTAAGGCTCTTGAGTACTTAGCCAAGAACTCCATGTTGATGGTAACGACACCGAAGTATTTACTGTGGAAAACTGTTGTCAGGAAGGTATAGGTAGCACACACAATAAGTGGACTTGTATACGATTAAATTCTGGTTTATTGCTTCCACACAAAAAAAATTTGCTTATTTGTGAAAATGTGACTTGTCTCATGAAAGTCCCAAAAATGGGCGGAAACGACAGTTATCTTGAAATTTTATACGTAAAAGCGTATATTTTACTCGTTTCATCAGCTGTTAAACTGTGTGTTTTTACCCGAGTATAGGCTCACTTTACATGCTCTTTACGACCATTTATTGACTATTAAAGGAGGAAAGAATAGTTTCCGCCCATTTTTACAAGTGTTTTTAAGCGATTTCGTCATTTACGTTTACTCAAATTGTCTTTATTTACAAATGACATGCAACAAAAATTAACGTGCATTTTTCATCTATGACATCACAATTCCAACATGGCCGTCGCGACTGCTCAGAAGCCTTAAATAAAGTATGTGACACACACTGCTCAATGCCATTAATATTTTAAGGTGACATTGGTGCGTTCAGCAGAGAAAGCAATTTTGCAACTGTTATAAAATTCTTTAATATGATTGGTCTTGCCCTTACTTCCTAGATCTAAATGTATGAGTCAATCATATTTAAGAATTTTACAGCAGTTGCAAAGCTGCTTTTTCTATTGAACGTAATCATTTTCTTGAGCTTTTTTTTCTTAGCTCGAGATTACCAGCGCAAATTCTGATTAGCTGCTGCTTTTTTTGCTTTTCATTTTTCTATCAAGATGTGAACGTGCCTTAAGTCTTGGCGGGCTCGGCATAAAAACAGGTTAATTTGTTTATGTATATAATAGAGTAGAACCTCTTTATAGTCACGACCTCCCAATTGTCTACAGTCGCAGGGTTTTACAGTGCCAGGTTTTACAGATACGAACCCGCCAACATTTTTTCCGAAAGGCGCCACAATGCGCCAATCTACAGCGCGAACCGATCTAGCAAAAAAAAATTAAAGCTCAGTATAATTATACCTTATCTACTGTCATTGCTGAAGCTGCGATATTTTGTTCCTATTTTTTTTTAATAAGTACATATTTTTACAAAAACAATACTATATTTTATACCATATTATTATTTCAATATCACATCGTTTCGAATATCATAAACGAGTCGAGCCCATCCGTGGACACTCATCGGTAAGAATTAATTGCTCAGTCGAAGTCGGTAACACTTTCAAAAATATTAAGTTGAATGCACCCGATCCGAAACGCGTCCGCCATGGTCGAATGGTTCTTCGGAACTATTCCTGCAATACTAGATGAGCGCGATGTCAATTGGTGGGGCAAAAATGGAGGGGTTGACACCTTATATTAGGTTTGTTCGCGTCGCACGTTCTAACATGCTCCAATATGCTCCTATCATAGCTCTTACTCTCTCCAACGTGCTCGTTGAAGTGAGCAAGAGCTATGGTAGGAGTATATCGGAGCATGTTGGAGTGTGCGACGCGAACAAACCTATTGTAATTTTGGAACCATAGACTTATAAGATAGACTCAGACTACGGTCCACTTGATGCTACAAATGCTTCGAGTATTTTTTGATTGGTTAACTAATACAATTCTTTTTTCTGATTGGTCAATCAAAAGTTTCAAAGCATTTGTAGTGCCAAGTGGACCGCACCCTCAGCATGTTCTTATGATAGAAGTGAAGCCAACATAACAGTAAGAGTGAGTGAAAGCAAAAACAATTGTAAAGTATCTCTATTCTTCTTCATTACGGTGAATATGCGCGAGTGAGAAGAACAGAGATTCACCGATGTTTTGCATCTCATCGTTCTGCTGATTTCACTTCTATCACAGAGGCATGCTAGGTCTATCTAAAGTCTATGTTTGGAACACAGCACACAGAGCCTATGGTTGCGTTCAACAGATTCAACAGTTTTGCAACCGTTTTATGATTCGTCTCGCTGATTGGGTTATACTTTTAGATCTAAAGGAATAGTCTTATCTAAGCGAAGAATCATAAAACAGTTGTAAAACTATTGACTCTGCTAAACGCGACCATAATTAGCCAATTATATATAGGGATGCGTTCTAAGACTCAACTTTGTTTGACTAAACACAGTCATTAATTGTTATTGAAAAACGCCACTTTTTCGCAATAATTCCTTTCCAAAGCGCCACTTTAGCACCAAGCGCTAAAAATTTATTTTCATGCGCCAAACCACTACCTCAAGGCGTCATTTTGACGGAAAAGCGCCACACTTGCACAGTCGACTTTCGTATAAGCACACGTTTGTAACTCATGTAATGCGTTTCCAACTGCTTGCACAGTAAACAATGCGCAGTTGTCTACACTTGTGGCACATTCGATACATATGCATTGATGTCAAAGACATAGAGAATGGACTGCGCGATCTGTGTGTCAAAATGAGAGAGAGGTACCGTGGAAGGACGGCCATCTCCCTCTCATTCTCTCTTCCATTACACCATCAAATGGAAAAAAATAGAGATGGCCGTCTTCCACGGACCCTCTCTCTCTCATTTTCATCGACCACATTTTGATACTACTTTAGATACGGGATCGCGCAGTCCATTCTCTATGTCTTTGATTGATACGATTCTAATGCTGCCCTGACACGGTGCGAGTGCAAAACTATACTGAATTGATTTAACCTGTCTTGGTGCAGCATTAAGTTAGTGCAACACTAACATATATTAAAACTAATAATAGTAAACATAAATATTTTTATTATAAAAAGTATTTGTTTTTTATCGTATTTATATACCTCTTTGTCCGAATATTCACGATGTCCACATAATTTTTAATTTTCGGCCTTTCTTCTTTTATTAAACATAACATATATTCCATTTTATCATCACTACTGCTTGTTTCTAATAATTCATCTATAATAAATTTTAGTCTTTATCCACCATTTTATAATTTTTTGCTGCCTAACTATAGTTCTGTTTGTCCAAACACCAAACTGCACTGACAAAAATGTCAGTGCAATATTTCTTGAACTCATTCGGTTCATTCGAATTCAGTACTACACTAGGTCAGTTTTCATTTGCCGAATACGGTAATCTAAACGCACTGATATGGTGCGCACAATCTGAATACGTGGCACCGAAAAAGTTCGCATTCAGTGCGCACTAGTGCAGTCTATTGCAGTCTATCGAATTCACCATTAGACGCACTCAGGGTCGTATTTTTTAGCGCTCAATTGTAACCTTTGGGGATAATCTACCACATATATTAATTATTTTACATAATTGTTAGTTGCTTAATTATTTGTAAACATGAATCAAAACAGAGGAGGAAGTGTATAATAATAAGCAACATATAATTCAGGAGATTGCTTCCGGATCAAAAATTAAAGCTGTAGCAAGAAAATATAGTATTTCATCAAGTTGTATGTTAAGAGCTTTCTTACTAAAGTAAGAAATCTTGTGTTAGTCATATCTCAACGAAATAAATAGTTACCAAAACATTTCTTTCAATGAGTGTTACGTATGTGCTTAAGAAGGCTACTTAAAGTCTTGCTTTGGGACGGAGCTAAGATAAGTTCTTTATTGTCACATTTGGTCCCGAGCATGTGACTATAAAGAGGTCCTACTGTATATATACAAAATTGTTGAAATGTTATCAGTAATAGGGATTGTATAAAGTTCTAAAAATACTAATATGTGCTGTCAGTATTACTGATCAGTATTATTGATTGTGTGTAAAGATCGTGGTAAAACTTAGAAAATAGACGATCACCGCGATTCCAATGACATGTTGTTAAAATCATGAGTAGTCAAAAGTCAATTAAACTCAGACTCGACAGGATTATTAAGCTCTAAAAATTTGTTTTCAATAAAATTTGAGATTCTTTTAAGACATTACATAAAGCAGTTATGATTTTGTTATTTAAATTATCTAGTAAATATTCAACCGAAAAGGGTTGAAAAAGATTATATTTTATTAGAGATCTGATCGAGTTTCTTCTGATATAAATGGCCCGGGTCCTCGATGATGAGGTAAACTTGACCAAGCTTGCTAGGCATAGTCGAAGCTGGCAACGATTTTCAAAAATGGTGGTGCAACACTCGAGACGAGGCAAAACAGGTCCATTTCACTCAAGCGATCCTTCAAGACTCTAATCTGATCAAGCGTTTTCTAGGTTCTTCCGCATGAGAACAAGACCATACAATATGGTTAATATCTTGAACATTTTCTCCACACGAAGGGATTTCAACAATTCATTCCGAACAGACGAACATTAGTACATAAACATCCAGACACGATACGGAAAGCTAAAATAAAATCAGATCTCTT